AGTCTCCTGCCTCAGCCTCCCAAGTAGCTGGGACCACAGGCGCCTGCCACAACGCCCAGCTATTTTTTGGTTGCAGCCATCATTGTTGTTTGGCGGGTCTGGGCTGGATTTGAACCCACCACCTTTAGGTGTATATGGCTGGCGCCTTAGCCACTTAAGCCACAGGTGCCAAGCCAGAAAATTTTTTTTAAATTGTAGTAACAAGTACACATAACAAAACTTACCATCTTCATTCTTTTAAGTGCACACAGCTCAGTGACATTATGCAAATCCATGTAGTTGTGTGACCGTCACCACTCTCCTCCTCCAAAACCTTTATCTTCCCAAACTGAAGCTCTGTCCCCATACATAGTAACTTCTCTGTTTCATTCGCTTCAGAAACACAGTGATGAATGAATAAAATGAAGTATCATCTTTTATTTTCTGAAGGGAAAAAGAAATGTTTGATAACCAGCTCCTAGAAGAAAGGAACCGGCGTCATCGGTGAGGAAGAGGCTGATCTGCAATGGAGGCTGCTCCAGCTTCAGCAAGAGCCCCAGGGTGGTCTGTTCAGCACGTGGATGTTCTCTGGAAAGCGGGAGCCCTGGGGCTTGGGTTTGTGTTGAATCTTTCTGAGTTGTCCTGATTTCTACACTTCTGAAGTCAGTTTCATTTATGTACTCAAAGTTATTTTTTTTTTCCTGGCATTTTTGCAAGGTACAGTTCCTGAAAGGTTTTTACAGAAACAAAAGTACAATGATTGTATGTCCTTACTTGTGGCTTAACACAAAGTGCAAATTTTTTTTTATGCGTTGCATCTGTACTAAATGAGAGTTTTTAAAAAGTGTCTGATATGAATACATAGCTCCAGAAACAACAGTGTGTTTTCTGGTTTTTTCCACTTTGTGTGATTTCCACTTAATATATTTCCTTCTCGGTGTATGCGGCTAGTGTGGTAACCACTGTACTATGGGTGCCAAGCCTGGCTTGTCTCTTTGAATGCCAGACTTGTTAGGAAAATTAGCCTCACAGCCCTGGTAGTCCCTGGGCAGGGAGCTGAACCCAGGGTGGAGGTCCGCTCAGGGATAAGCCTGAGAGACTGTTTACATGGCAATTGAGTAGAGCAAACTTCTGACTTGGGGAAAATTACTAAAGGGAGACATGCTGAACCCACTGAGAGATCTGGGCCCTCTCTGCTCATGCTATCTTGTGCTTTCTGAGGGTGTTTGTTTTAAAACTTGTCCTGAGGCTCTGTGCCCATAGCTCAGTGGTTAGGGCGCTGGCCACATACACCGTGGCTGGCAGGTTCAAACCTGGCCTGGGCCTGCTAACCAACTATAACAAGAACAACAAAATAACCAGGTGTGGTGGACACTGTAATCCCAGCTATTTGGGAGGCTGAAGCAAGAGAATCACTTAAGCCCAAGAGCTTGAAGTTGTTGTGAGCTATGATGCCACAGAGGGCGACATAGTGAGACTCTGTTTCAAAAAAAAAAAAAAAGTTGTCCTGAGGCACACATTTAAGTCCACATGCTAAGTGGGAAGGGACCAGGGAGGGGGGTAAGTCCCAGCAGCTGCGGGTCCCCTGGTCTATACTCTCTGCCTCATTGGGGGTAATTCTGGTATCCAATGTGAGTGGGGATTGGACTATTTTTTTTTCAGGTAATTTGGGCAGGAGTCTGCAACTTGGGTATTGCCAACCTGTGGGGGCGTCCTGGCCCTACAGGGTGCTGGGCAGTGTCCCTGCCTCCACCCACCCATTTCAGGAACACATCAGAAGTATCTGTAGGCTTGGTGCCTGTGGCTCAAGTGGCTAAGGTACCACCCACATACACCTAAGGTGGCAGGTTCGAATCCAGCCCGGGCCCACCAAACAACAATGACGGCTGCAACCAAAAAAATAGCTGGGCATTGTGGCGGGCGCCTATGGTCCCAGCTACTTGGGAGGCTGAGGCAGGAGACTTGTTTGAGCCCAGGAGTTGGAGGATGCTGTGAACTGTGATGCCACGGCACTCTACCCAGGGGGACAGCTTGAGGCTCTGTCTCAAAAAAAAAAAAAAAGAAAAATACCTGTAGACGTTGCCAAATGCCCTCTGGAAAGCTGCTCTCCACAAACTGTGTGTTCCTTCAGCTTCTGCGTCCCTACAGAAGTAGACTCCTGGGCTCCTGCCCTTTCCCTCTGGGTTTTTAGTGAGTGTTTCAGGGGTAGGGTGTTCTGCCCAGCCTCCCAGCCACACCCAAGCTCCCTGGCATCCTTCTGTGTAGTAGTATGTACTTGTAGCTTCCTGCCCATGCACCCACCCCCGTGGTCCCTTACACAGAGTCTCTAGGGTCTAGAGACCCTGTGATGCTTTTCTGAAAGTAGCTTTACTTGTTCCAGTTCCTGTCCCAGCGGGTCCCCAGAAGAATCACGTTTCCCCTAATTGAAGCAGCCACACATCTCAGCAGTAACCACTCCCAGGAATGGAGGCTTCCCTGCTGGCACTCTGGCACCTCTTCAAAACTTCAATTTTTAAAAAAACATACATGCACAGGCAGGAAATCACATTGGTGCAGCCAGAGTCAGTCTCCTCTGTCCCTGCCCTGTGTTCAGTCCCCAAGCCTCCACCTCTTCAACCTTCCCCATTTGTCCCTTACCCTCCTGCTGGCCTCATCCAGTAGATCTATCCCATGGTTCCTATTTCAGGGATGTCTTCACCCTAAGTCCCTGAGCCAGAGTCCTGGCTCAGCCTTTTGTGCATTCAATTACACCTGCCCTTGAAACATCAAACCTGAGGGTCAGGAATACCTGAGCAGCTGGGCTGGGCCTCCAAGGTACCTTGTTTAGGGGACGATGGTGGGAGACCACAGCTCCCCCTATGTCAGGCCCCTCCTTGGGCCACTCGAGTGTCCCCCTTCCTTAGTGGCTGTTCCTCTGAGAGCAGCAATGTTCCTGCCTGGTCTTGACAGACACCTGCCTACAGTACTGCTGCTGGTCACGTAGGGCAGTCCTGCCTGAATGTTAAGACACTGATAACAAGGGCGAGGACATAGGTGGCCAAGGTAAGCCCAAGAGGGGGGTGGTTGTCAACCCTAGCCCTCCCAGAGGGTCCTCAGATCAGCCAAAGCCAGGGATTGAACACCCTGTCACCTCTGCCACCAATGCTAAGGCTAAGAGCCACAAAAACCCCTCAGTGGACAGGCTCCTTGGTTCCATCAGGAAAGAGTCCATGAGACTGGCCAGCATGATCTGAATGTGACATACCAGGGACATGGAAAGGATGCTACTGTCCCCAAGCCTGTTAAAAAAAGAAATTTAACAAATCACTAACAAAAAATTCCATGAGAGAAACCCAATGGAGGGATGCCTCACAGTAAACCCTGACCAGCCCTCCTCATGGCTCCCAGAACATCAGAAACAAGGAGTGGCCAAAAATCAGTCACAGTCACGACTAAATATCACACACACAGGAGCAGAATTGGCAACCTTGGGCAGGAAAGGACTTAAAGGAAAATTGAGGAAACTTGAATAAAGTAAGGATTTCAGCTAATAACCACATATCAATAATGGTGTATTAATTGTGGCAAACATACTGCACTCACATAATATGTTAATAGTACACGGGAAAAATATGAACTATCTTTGTACCTTTTCTATACATATAAAGTTATTCTGATATAAAAGTTTACATACCCTCATTAGTATAGTGGTTAATAAAGCGGGAAAAAAAGGATGCTTAAATAAATTTAAAAGTCAGGGCTGGGTGCAGTGGCTCACGCCTGTAATCCTAGCACTCTGGGAGGCCAAGGGGGGCCAAGGGAGCACAGGAGTTCAAGACCAGCCTGAGCAAGAGCAAGATCCTGTCTCTAAAAATAGCTGGACATTGTGGCACAGCCTGTAGTCCCAGTTACTTGGGAGGCTGAGGCAAGAGAATACCTTGAGGAAGAAGAGGCAAGAGAACGACCCCCAAACTAACCAAAGCCTACACATCGCTGCATCCCTGCATCCAGTGCCTGCATCCTGCTGTCACTGCCAGAATGCCCAAGAGAAATGCTGAAGGGGGGTGCTAAAGGAGATAAAGCCAAGGATGAACCACAGAAATCCACAAGGTTGTCTGCTAAACCTGCTCCTCCAAAGCCAGAGCCTAAGCCTAAAAAGGCCCCAGCAAACAAGGGAGAGAAGGTATCCAAAGGGAAAAAGGGGAAAGCTGATGCTAGCAAGGAGGGGAATAACCTGGCAGAAAATAGAGATGCCAAAACAGACCAGGAACAGAAAGATAAAGTTGCTGGGGATACCAAGTGAAGTGTGTCCATTTTTTATAACTATGTACTTCTGGTGACTGTGCAGTTTGAAATACTGTATCAAGTTTTATAAAATGCAGAATTTACTTTTTTAAGCTTTGTTGTTAGCACACAGAATACTTCATTGTTTGGGGGGGGGTAAGGGACATACCTCATTTTGGGGTAAGGGGCATATGCCACTAATAGAATGTCTCCAAAGTCAGATTGATATGAGGGAAAATGTCTTTTTCCTCTAGTTTTGAAAGACTTCCTCTTGGGTCCCAAGAGGAGGGATTCTCTGATGTTGACACACAGCCAGCCACCTTGACACAAATGCCTTCTGGTATGGAAAAACTAATATGTTTTTATGTCCTATTCTCCCTCTGCCTTCACCATCATCTTTTTTTTCTTTTTGAGAAAGAGTCTCAAGCTGTTGCCCTGGGTAGAGTGCCATAGCATCATAGCTCACAGCAACCTCCAACTCTTGGGCTCAAGCGATTCTCTTGCCTCAGTTTTTCTATTTTAGTAGAGATGGGATCTCGCTTTTGCTGAGGCTAGTCTCATGAGCTCAAGCTATCAACCCACCTAGGCCTTTCAGAGTGCTAGGATTACAGGCATGAGCCTCTGAGTCCTGCCCTTTACCATCGTCTTACCTCCCTTAAACCTCACTTCTTGGGACCTAACCCAATTGGTTTCCAGTATGCCAAGGAATCTGGACTTTTCCAACAATACCACTGAGATGGCATCCCTCAAAAGAGCAGCAGTTCCATTTGTAGATTGTTGGATCTTCAGATAATGAAGAAATGATCTTCTGTCATTTTCATTTAATTTCCTGACAGTCAGGGCTGGCTTGTGAAAGTTGTGAAACAACATGTTAAATGTGAAATGTCAACCCTCACTCTAAACTTTCCCTGTTCAGAGCATCAAATGAAGACTTTATGGTGGCTTCTAATTTTTGGTAGACCACTGAAGAAGAGCGTTTAAAAGTTGGATATTGTTAGTGATTGTCTGCCCATGTCCTGCCAGAAATGCCTGATTGTTTATGAAAAGTATCTTTGATAATGCTGGATATAGTATGGCATGGAAAAAAAAAAGAGAGAATCACTTGAGCCCAAGAGTTTGAGGTTGCTGTAAGTTATGATGCCGTGGCACTCAACTAAAGGTGACAAAGTGAGACTCTGTCTCAAATTGAAAAAATATATATTAGGAAGGGGCATGTGGCTTAGTGGGTAGGGCGCCAGCCCCATATACCGAGGGTGGCGGGTTCGAACCTGGCCCTGGCCAAACTGCAACAAAAAAAATAGCCTGGCACTGTGGCAGGTGCCTGTAGTCCTAGCCACAGGAGACTGAGGCGAGAATTGCCTAACGTCAGGAATTGGAGGTTGCTATGAGGTGTGATGCCACAGCACTCTACCGAGGGCAATAAAGTGAGACTCTGTCTCTCTCTATATATATATGAAAAAAAATATGTATATATATATATATATATTAAACTAAAGACATGAAACTATAAAAATACTAGAAGAGTGTGCAGGGAAAACACTAAGAAATCGGCCTGGGAGAATATTTTATGAGGAGGACCCCCCGGGCAATTGAAGCAACACCAAAAATACATTACTGGGATCTGATCAAACTAAAAAGCTTTTGCACAGCTGAGTGCACAGTAAGTAAAGCAAATAGACAACCTTCAAAATGGGAGACGATTTTTGCAGGTTATGCTTCTGATAAAGGTCTGATAACTAGAATCCACAGAGAACTCAAACTAATCAATAAGAAAAGAACAAATAACCCCATTTCTATGTGGGCAAGAGACTTGAACAGAAACTTTTCTGATGAAGACAGACTCGTGGGCTACAAACACATGCAAAAATGCTCATCATCCTTAATCATCAGAGAAATCCAAAACCACTTTGAAGGGAACACTTCCGCACTGTTGGTGGGAATGCAAGCTAATACGACCTTTTTTGGAAAGAAGTTTGGAGAATACTCAAGGAACTAAAAGTAGACCTACTGTAATTCCTCTACTAGGTATATACCCAGATGATCAAAAATTATTTTACAACAAAGACATTTGCACCAGAATGTTTATTGCAGCCCAATTCATAATTGCCAAGATGTGGAAACAGCCCAAGTGGCCATCGGCCCATGAATGGATTAATAAATTGTGGTATATGTACACCATGGAATACTATGTAGCCATAAAAAGATGGAGACTTCACATCTTTTATTTTTACCTGGATGGAGCTGGAACATATTCTTCTTAGTAAAGTATCTCAAGAATGGGGGAAAAAAGTATCCAATGTACTCAATACTACTATGAAATCAATATATAATCACCTACACATTCATATGAATGGCAAAACATAACTATAGTCCAGAAAGTATAAGGGAAGAAGAGAGAGAGAGGAGGGAAGAAGGGAAGGGGGAGGAGGGAGGGTATTGGGGGGGGGGACCTCACCTAATGTGCAGGATGCAATGTTACATTTCATAACTATTAAGAAAAGAGTCTAATTGTGATGGATGTATTACTTAGTTCAATATGAACATTTCACATTGCATACCAAATCAGTACACTGAAACCCATAAATGCATCAGTGTACACAGTTAAGATTTAATAAAAAATAAATAAATAAACATAAATAAAAATAAATTAAAAGCCACACAGCTGGGGCAATTCTGAGACCCACAGAGGGAAGAAAGCTTTGTGCACTCAACAATCCTTTAGACTCCTGTCAGTTCTCCTGTTCTCTTCCTCCCTTGGCCCCAGTCTCCTGCCTGTCTCATTCCGTAGAACTTCAAGCTCCTCAGTCTGGCCCAGCACCCACAGGGATTCTGTAAACCCCTTGCATGGTTCTGTGTTTGTCTACATGGCTTCAGCTTCCCAGTCCTTAAAGTCAGCAGGATTGGGCGGCGTCTGCCCTTCAGTGGGTAGTGTGCCGGCCCCATATACCAAGGGTGGCAGGTTCAAACCCGGCTCTGGCCAAACTGCAACAAAAAAATAGACGGGCGTTGTGGCAGGCTCCTATAGTCCCAGCTACTTAGGCAAGAGAATTGCCTAAGCCCAGGAGTTGGAGGTTGCTGTGAGCTGTGTGATGCCATGGCACTCTAACCGAGGGTGGTAAGTGAGATTCTGTCTCTACCAAAAAAAAAAAAAAAAATCAGCAGGATTGTCAAAGTCAAATCACATGCAAACAAAGTATTCAGCAAGCTCCATTTTGCTAGTTTTGATGTTTAGTGTTAGTTTTCATTTTTTATAAATTTATTTATTTATTTTTATTTATTTTGAGACAGAGTCTCACTTTATTGCCCGTAGTAGAGTGCTGTGGCGTCACAGCTCACAGCAACTTCCAACTCCTGGGCTTAGGCAATTATCCTGCCTCAGCCTCCCAAAGTGGCTGGGACTACAGGCACCCACCACAATGCCCAGCTATTTTTTTGTTTGCAGTTTGGCCGGGGTCAGGCTTGAACCCAGCACCCTTGGTATATGGGACCAGTGCCCTACTCACTGAGCCACCAGCGCCGCCCTATTTTATTTATTTATTTATTTATTGATTGATTGATTTTGAGACAAGAGTCTCTTTTGCCCTGGGTTCACAGGAACCTCAAACTTTTGGGCTCAAGAGCTCCTCTTGCCTCAGTCTCCGGAGTAGCTGGGAGTACAGATGCCACCAAAACGCCCAGTTAAGTTTTCCTATATTTAGTAGAGACAGAAGTCTTGCTCATTTTTTTTCCTTTTTTGAGACAGTCTCACTCTGTTGCCTTGGGTGGAGTGCCTTGGCCTCATAGCTCACAGCAAGCTCAAACTTTTGGGCTGGGCTCAGCGCCTATAGCTCAACCGGCTAAGGCGCCAGCCACGTACACCTAAGGTGGCGGGTTCGAATCCCCAGCCTGGACCCGCCAAACAACAATGATGGCTGCAACCAAAAAAAAAAAATAGCCGGGCATTGTGGCGGGTGCCTGTGGTCCCAGCTACTTGGGAGGCGGAGGCAAGAGACTCGCTTGAGCCCAGGAGTTGGAGGTTGCTGTGAGCTGTAATGCAACGGCACTCTACCCAGGGGGACAGCTTGAGGCTCTGTCTCAAAAAAAAAAAAAAAAACTTTTGGGCTGAAGAGCTCCTCTTGCCTCAGCGTCCCCAGTAGGTAGGTGGGAGTATAGGCACCTGCCATGTCCAGCTAGTTTTTCTGTTTTTCTTTTGGGGTGGGTGGGTGGAGGGGAATCTCCCTCTTGCTAGGCTGGTTTCCAACTCGTGAAGTTAAGCAAACCACCCTTGAGGGGCTCCCAGAGTTATAGGATTACAGGCATGAGCCACCTCTCGCGGCCAGTTTTCATCCTTACTACTAAAAAAAAAAAAAAAAATTTAAATCAAAGGAGTGGGAGGACAAAAGGGATGTTTGGGCTGGAATCATACTTGGGGGTGACAAAAGGGGGTTTAGAGTTGTCTGTCATATCTGAGCCCTTTCCAGTCGGGCCTGGGTCAGCCAACATCCTTGTACTTCGTGTGTAGAGGAGGAAAGGAGAACCCAGGGGATGGAAGGAAGCTGAATCAACTTCCAACAAAAGATAAACGATGCTGGCCAGGGACACCAAAACTCCTGCAGAAACCCAGATTGAACCAAAGACTTCTAGATTTTCACTCTAAGGCTTTCCCAACTAAAATATTTCGGTGGGGCGGCAGAGGTTACTCTATCCAGACTCCGCCCCGTGCCGCCAGTCACACAAACGCGGATCACGCCCCATGAGTAGTGCTTCTCTGCCTCGTAGGGCTACGACAGGCACCACTCTGTAACATCGTCTCTGTGGCGCAATCGGTTAGCGCGTTCGGCTGTTAACCGAAAGGTTGGTGGTTCGAGCCCACCCAGGGACGCGCGTATCCTTTTTTGGTCCCGCGGAAACGAGAGAAATAGTTGTCCCCCCTAATTTTACCTGGGCACCCCTCCATCGCGCTGTGCACCACAGGTGACCTTGGGGCGCCCGGCGTGGACACGAACAAGGAAAGCAACGGAACGTCCTGGGCCGGTGTTCCAGTTTCCTCGCTCGCTTTAAGCCTCTTTGTGGGAGGCCCCGGGGGACCCGGAGGGCTAAGGAGGACGGACCGCAGAGGTTGTCTGAAGGCCGAGGCCAAGATGGCGGTGCTGGCGGGTGAGTCCGGCGTTGGCGGGCTCAAGGGTTGGGGACGTGGGTGGCAAGGGCCGGGGCGTAGGCCTGGGCTGGTGTAGGGCAGAGGTGCGCTCTGCGTTTCTTTCTGTCTTTTTTTTGTTGTTGTTGCTTTGAGGCAGAATCTCACTTTGTCGCCCTTGGTAGAGTGCTGTAGTGTCACAGCTCACAGCAACCTGAAACTCTTGGGCTTAAGCAATTCTCTTGTCTCAGCCTGCCAAGTAGCTGGGACTAAAGGCACCCGCCACAACACCCAGCTATTTTTTGTTGTAGTTTGGTGGGAGCCGGGTTTGAGCCCGCCACTCTCAGTATATGGGGCCGGCGCCCTACTCACTGAGCCACGGGAGCCGAACGCGCTCTGGGTTTCTTTACGCTGGTCGCTCCTCCGGCTCCAGTTTTGCCCGCGGTGAACGGTCTCTTATTGTTTCTAGGGTACAGTAAGGGAAACTGAGACCCAGCGGGTAGTGGCCCAGGCCCCCAGCTTCTGAGGTGCACTTGGGGCAGTAGCGGGGGAAGCCTCACACACTGCCCTTGGAGTGCCCCAGAGAGAACTGGGCGAGGATTACATCCACCTGACGGGCTAGGAGACTGAGGTCCTGAGAGAGTCGGTGATTCCTGGGGGTCCGGGGCCTGGTTCTTGGCTGGTCCCTGCCCTAGGATGCTCATGTTACTCTGCCGGGTGACATCTCCCTCACCACCTCTGAGACGCTGTCTTCGCCTTGCAGAGTAGCAGTCTCAACCTGTCCTGCTCGGGGACCTTTTTGGTATTAGATGAAGCCTGAGCTCAGATAAAGTTATTAAATGTATAGGATAAAATCTGTATAAGATTGCAAGGAAATCAGTTATACTAGAGACAGATATCAAAATATTGTTTTCAGGGCCAGATGCGGTGGCTCACGCCTTAATCCTAGCACTCTGGGAGGCCGAGGTGAGTGGATTGCCTGAATTCACAGGTTGGAGACCAGCCTGAGCCAGAGCAAGACCTTGTCTCTAAAAATAGCAGTTGCCTGTAGTCCCAGCTTCTTTGGAGGCTGAGGCAAGAAAATCACTTGAGCCCAAGAATTTGAGGTTGCTGTGAGCTATGATGCCATCATATTCTACTGGGGGTGACAAAGAGACTGTCTCATGTAAACAGAAAAAAAATATATTGTTTTCGCTGGGTGTGGTGGGTCACTCCTGTAATCCTAGTGCTCTGGGATGCTGAGGCAGGTGGATTGCTTGAACTTAGGAGTTTGAGACCAGCGTGAGCAAGAGTGAGATTCTGGGCCAAGCTAGGTGGCTCAGGCCTGTAATTTTAGCACTCTTGGAAGCCGAGGTGGGTGGATTGCTTGAACTCAGGAGTTGAGACCAGCCTGAGCAAAAACGAGACCCTGTCTCTACCAAAAATAGAAAAACTATGCATGGGTTTGGATTTATGGCAGGCCTGTTCCCCTGAGCCTCTCATAGTGCCTCATTCCAGAGCAAACCGTGGCCCTGAATCATTGCCTGGCCTCTGTGTCCATAGGCTGCTGGCACTGAAGTGGGTTGCACAGAAGAAAATAAATAAATAAATAATAAAAATAGAAAAACTGGGCGGCGCCTGTGACTCCAAGGAGTAGGGCACCAGCCCCATATACTGGAGGTGGTGGGTTCAAACCCAGCCCTGGCCAAAAACTGCAAAAAATAATAAAAATAAAAAGGTTTAAAAAAAAAAATAGAAAAACTGAGGCAGAGAATCTCTTGAACCCAAGAGTTGGAAGTTGCTGTGAGGTATGATGCCACTGCATTCTTCCCAGGGTGACAGCTTAAGACTCTGTCTAAAAAAAAAAAAAAAAAGAATGAGATTCTGTCTCTACTAAAAATAGAAAAATTAGGCTCAGCCCCTGTAGCTCATTGAGTAGGGTGCTGGCCACATACATCGAGGCTGGCAAGTTCAAGCCCGGCCCAGGCCTGCTGAACAACAATGACAACTGCAACAACAACAACAAAGAAATAGCTGGGTATTGTGGTGAGTACCTATAGTCCCAGCTACTTGGGAGGCTGAGGCAAGAGAACCGATTAAGCCCAAGAGTTTGAGGTTGCTGTGAGCTGTGCTGCCACGGCACTCTACGGAAGGCAACATAGTGAGAATCTTATCTCATGAAAAAAAAATAGTGGTGGGCGTCACCTGTGGCTTAAAGGAGTAGGGCGCCAGCCCCATATACCGGAGGTGGTGGGTTCAAACCTGACCCCGGGGAGTAGCACCTGTGGCTCAAAGGAGTGGGGCGCTGGCCCCATATGCTGAAGGTGGTGGGTTCAAACCCAGCCCTGGCCAAAAACTGGAAAAAAAAAAAAAAGTGGTGCCTGTGGCTCAGTGGGTAAGGTGCCAGCCCCATATACCGAGGGTGGCAGGTTCAAACCCAGCCCCGGCCAAACTGCAACAAAAAAATAGCTGGGTGTTGTGGCAGGTGCCAGCAGTCTCAGCTACTTGGGAGGCTGAGGCAAGAGAATCGCCTAAGCCCAGAAGTTGGAGGTTGCTGTGAGCTGTGTGACACCATGGCACTCTATTGAGAGCGATAAAGTGAGACTCTGTCTCTACAAAAAAGAAAAATAGAAACATTAGCCAGTGGTGGTGCCAGACACCTGTAGTCCTAGCTATGCAGAGGCAAGAGGATTGCTCAAGCCCAGGAGTTAAGGTTGCTGTGAGCTAGGCTGACGCCACAGCACTCTAGCCTGGTCAACAGAGTAAGACTCTGTCTCAAAATAAATACTAAATAAATATATAATGTATATATATATATGAAACCTGGTAGGTAGCTTAGTAGTAATCTAAGTGCTTGAGTTATTAACACATGCAATGCAATGCCAAAGTCTAGTGGTGGGTCGAATAATGACTATCATTCTGACACAGTGAGGACAAGAAATGTGGCTTCTGGGCCCGGTGAGGTGGCTCACGCCTATAATCCTAGCATTCTGGGAGGCTGAGGCGGGTGGATTGCCTGAGCTCACGGGTTCAAGACCAGTCTGGGCCAGAGCAAGAGCCCCATCTCTAAAAAAGAGCTGGACATTGTGGCAGGCAACTGTAGTCCCAGCTACTTGGGAGGCTGAGGCAAAAGAAGCGCTTGAGCCCAAGAGTTTGAGCTTGCTGCAAGCTATGATGCCATGGAACTCTGAGGGCAACAAAGTGAGATTCTGTCTCCAAAAAAAAAACAAAAGTGGCTTCCATGTATGTTAATGCCTACAGTCCTTGTAGCATGTTAGGAAATGTTTATGGTTTCTGTTGGTGAAAAGTTACAGGTCCAGCTAATAATGGTTTGTTTTGTCACCAACACTCAGAATGAATGAAAGGTTAATTTTGAGATTTTCAGTAAAAAGTTAATGACAATGAAGATTTTGTTTGTTTATGGGGGTTTTTTGAGACAGAGTCTCACTTTGTCGCCCTTGGTAGAGTGCTGTGGTGTCATAGCTCACTGCAACCTCAAACTCTTGGGTTTAAGTGAACCTCTTGCCTCAGCCTCCTGAGTAACTGGGACTACAGGCACCCGCCACAATGCCCAGCTTTATTTATTTATTTATTTACTTAGAGACAGAGTATCACTTTGTTGCTCCCGGTAGAGTTTTATGGCATCATAGATAGCTCAAGCAACCTCAGACTCTTGGGCTCAGGCAATTCTCTTGCCTCAGCCTCCTGAGTGGCTGGGACTACAGACGCCAGCCACAACTGCCTGGCTGTTTTTAGAGATGGGGGTCTAGCTCAGGCTGGTCTAGAATTTGTGAGCTCAAGCAATCCACCCACCTTGGTCTCCCAGAGTACTAGGATTACAGGCATGAGCACCAACCCCTTTGTTTTGTTTTTTAGTGCAAGTTCATGATTCTTATGAATTCTTACCAGCAGTTCCCTTGTTAAGAATGCCTGGCCCTGTGGTGGGCGCCTATGTCCCAGCTACTTGGGAGGCTGAGGCAAGAGAATTGCCTAAGCCCAAGAGCTGGAGATTGCTGCCAGCAATCTGGCAGTGTGATGCCATGGCACTCTACGAAGGGCGACAAAATAAAACTCTGTCTCTAAAAAAAAAAAAGAAAAAAAGAAGGCCTGGCCCTGACTGGGTTCAGTGGCTCATGCCTATAATCCTAGCACTTTTTTTTTGAGGCAGAGCCTCAACCTGCCCCCCTGGGTAGAGTGCCATGGCATCACAGCTCAAAGAGACCTCCAACTCCTGGGCTCAAGCGAGTCTCTTGCCTCAGCCTCCCAAGTAGCTGGGACTACAGGCGCCCTCTACAATGCCTGGCTATTTTTTGTTTTGTTTTGTTTTTAGAGACAGAGTCTCACTTTATTGACCTCGGCAGCTGTGGCGTCACAGCTCATAGCAACCTCTAACTCCTGGGCTTAGGCAATTCTCTTGCCTCATCCTCATGAGTAGCTGGGACTACAAGTGCCCAGCTATTTTTTTGATGCAGTTTGGCCAGGGCCAGGTTTGAACCTGCCACCTTCAGTATATGGGACTGGTGCCCTACTCACTGAGTCACAGGAGTTGCCCCCGGCTATTTTTTGGTTGCAGCCATCATTGTTATTTGGTGGGCCCAGGCTGGATTTGAACCAGCCACCTTACGTGTATGTAGCTGGTGCCTTAGCCACTTGAGCCACAGGCGCCAAGCCTGATTACCTTTTCTTTTCTTTTTTTTTTTTTTTTGAGACAGGAGCCTCAAGCTGTCCCCCTGGGTAGAGTGCCGTGGCATCTCAGCTCACAGCAACCTCTCACTCCTGGACTCAAGCGAGTCTCCTGCCTTAGCCTCCCAAGCAGCTAGGACCACAGGCGCCCGCCACAACGCCCGGCTATTTTTTGGTTGCAGCCATCATTGTTGTTTGGCGGTCCCGGGCCAGATTTGAACCCGCCACCTTGGGTGTACGTGGCTGGCGCCTTAGCCACCTGAGCCACAGGTGCCGAGCCGATTACCTTTTCTTATAAGCTTATAAGTTATGTTGGATGAGGGCCCACCCTAATGACTTCACTGTACCTTAATGACCTCTTATAGACCCTGTCTTGAACACCAGTCATTTCTGAGGCCCTCGGGTTAGGGCTTCAACATAGGAATTGGGGTGGGGGGGACACAATTCAGCCCATAATGGGCATCAGTCTTGGCCTTTCTGGCTTTACCTCATACACCAGGATCTCTCACATCTCTGGGCCTTTCTTGCCCTGAATGTTTCTCTGACAACAACCTACTTATGCTTCAGGGTTCTCCCTTCAGGAAGGTCTCTGGGAGGCCTTTTTTATTTTTTTGAGACAGAGCCTCAAGCTGTCACCCTGGGTTAGAGTGCTGTGGCATCACAGCTCATAGCAACCTCCAACTCCTGGGCTCAAGCAATTCTCCTGCCTCCACCTCCCAAGTAGCTGAGACTACAGGCACCTGCCACAATGCCCGGCTATTTTTTGGTTGCACCTGTCGTTGTTTGGTGGGCTGGGCTGGATTCAAATGCCAGCTCAGGTGTATGTGGCTGGCGCCTTAGCAGCTTGAGCCACAGGTGCTGTGCCTCCAGGAGGCCTTTGATCAAAGCATTTCCTTCTCTGTACTTTGTAGTAAGCTCCTCTCAGGGACACTTTGCTGTGTAGGTTGATGTGGGAGGGGCCTTCCTGGAGGACAGGGGCCTAGCTCAGTTATATAGGAAACTCTGAGCACCAGCTCAGGGCCTGGAATAAAGAACACATGCTCTTTGAAGAAGCAGCAAAGGCCAAGATGGGCACATGGCAAACCAGGGAGGTTCTGACATCGCCAGGAAGAGGCAACAAACAAGTACACTTAGACAAGATGGAACTGTGTGCCAGGATCCAGACTGCCTTGGGGGGCTATTTGTAGGCTTGATGACCCAGGAGAAGGGCCAGCCCTGTGTAGATGTGCAGGTGTTCCAGATAGAGGGAATAGAAGTGGTGAAGGCCCTGAGGGAGGAATGCAATCAGTGTGGGTAATGCTTGCCAGGGAAGGCAGCTGCAGTGTGCAGACTATGTTCTGTTCCACAGAGGTCCTGGAAAAGAACCCACACTCCCACAAGAATGAGGGCATGCCAGGTGGGGACCTGATGGGGAAATGACTGGGGGCTTGACCCAGGAGAACGATCTGGGTGTCTGACTCCATGGCACCTAGGGATGCCCGAAGCTTACTACCACCCCCTCCTCTGGTTCTTTTGCAGCTCCTGGCCTGCTCTGCTTCCGGATCCTAGGTTTTCGGTGAGTGCCCATCTCCACCCCTAAACCAGGAGGGCCCTTGTTGAAAGTTACTAAGGGAGTGAGGGGCAGGACTGGGGTTAACTGCCCGTGGACAGCTTATAGTATGCTAGGGCCTCCCTGCGGGGACAGCCTGTGATTAGTTGGCAGAGGCAGGACTTGATCATGTTTGTCCACCTGGTGCCTACCGAGCTCACTTGTCACTCATGGGAAGGCATCTTGTGAGCTCCTGCTAATATGTAGTGCTGTGTAGGCCTCCTTCAAACTTTGGTGGGACAGTGAGGACAGCCCACCCAGGGGACCTACCAACATCCCTTCAGTCTTGTGTGGAGAGCCTGGCCCCAAAGCTTTCTTCCCTGGATAGTCCTGGGACCATCTATGCCTAGACATTATCGCTTAGCAGCCTGCTGACCTGTAGGGTGCCTTCTGTTAGGACACTTAGGTCTACACACCTTTAGGGAGTTGGGCTATGGCTACCTGGTCCCAAGTTCTGTCTACTGACCTGGGTGAGAAAATAAGGGATGGGTGGACAGAGGTGCTTGAGGTTCCACATGAGGAAGGGGACAGATGGGAGGGACTTGGGTATAGCTCCAAGAGAGCCAGTGGGGCCTTGGATGGCTACTGACTCATAATCTGCCTCTCAGCAGCTCCAAGGTGGGCACAGTGGTGCTGGCCCGAGATGTCCATCAGAGCGCTACTGCTTATGGCCCAAGCAGGTGAGGCTGGCTTTCGGGGGGCGGGAGGAGACTGCATGTCCACAGTGCCCCTTTAATCTCTCCCTCTCCTGGTATATCCTGGGACCTCCTGGGACCCTGAGTATGGTATCTTGGCCCTGTGCTCTTCTGGTCCAAGCCTCTGGCAGCATATCCCCAAAGCCCCCAAGAATGGCCAGCTTCATTCCTTTGCTTGTCTGCCATGTCCCACCTGGGCCCTGTGAGCTTTAATGTTCTTCCTGGTGCTGTCCCAGGACCCTGCCCATGGCTACAACTCTGTCCCTCCCTTAGAGGAGCTGCTGTGGGCCAGTTCCCTGCACAGAGGCTGTGGGTGGCCCAGTATCTGCCTCCTGTGAATGTCTGCTTGGCTGACATTTCCCTGGGTCCATGTCTCCACTCTAGCACCAAGCCTGCTGTGACGAAAGCCGGAACTGTGGTCCGTAAACCCACTGCATTTCCCAGCAGCCGGGGCGAGTATGTGGTGGCCAAGCTGGATGACCTTATCAACTGGGCCCGCAGGGTGAGCCCCCTCTGTGCCAGTAGACCTTCTGTCCTAAGGGCCTTCCTCTGCACAGACGAACGTGTGTATACACTAGGGTGACCAGACATCCTGCTTTTTAACAATTTGTCCTGCATCCTGCGGCATTTTAAAAAAGTCCCGATTTTTTGGAAAGAATGCACGAACGGGTGGGAGAACAGGAAGGGAATATATGGTTTTCGGCTGCCATGTGGCTATTTTGCCAGAACATGAGTTTTATATTTTTTGTTAATTTTATAATGTTAAACTGTAATAATAACAAATAATTGTTGAGAAGTGATTGTCGAGAATTGCTTATCAAAGTATGCATTGTTGTCAGGCCCTGCCCTGCCCCACCCCGCCCCGCTGGTCATGTCCCGCTTTACCAATGTTAAAATCTGGTCACCCTAGTATACACATAGGCACGTGCACATATATAGACACATTATTCCATCTTAGGATTCACCTACTTCTTTATCCCTCACACTGTCAGCCCCATGGCTGGATGCCTCCCTCAGCCCCATTGGGCAGACATGTCTCTTTTTGCCTGTCTCTTTCTGGCTCGGGCTTATTTCTCTTGTTTCACTTTTAATGTGAAAGAAATTTTTTTTGAGACAGAGCCTCAAGCTGTCCCCCTGGGTAGAGTGCCCTGGCATCACAGCTCACAGCAACCTCCAACTCCTGGGCTCAAGTGAGTCTCCTGCCTCAGCCTCCCAAGTAGCTGGGACCACAGGCGCCTGCCACAATGCCTGGCTATTTTTTGGTTGCAGCCGTCATTGTTGTTTGGTGGGCCCAGGCTGGATTCGAACCTGCCACCTTAGGTGTATGTGGCTGGCTGGTGCCTTAGCCACTTGAGCCACAGGCACCAAGCCAAGACATTTTTTTTTAAGTTAGAAAAATCATGTGTGCTGAAAACAATAGATCTCTCTCAGTAAAAATCCTAAATCTGGGCAGTGCCTGTGGCTCAGTGAGTAGGGTGCTGGCCCCATATACCGAGGGTGGCGGGTTCAAACCCAGCCCTGGCCAAACTGCAACAAAAAAAAATAGCTGGGTGTTGTGGCAGGTGCCTGTAGTTCCAGCTACTTGGAAGGCTGAGGCAAGAGAATTGCCTAAATCCAGGAGCTGTGACGCCATGGCACTCTACCCAGGGCAATATAGTGAAACTCTGTCTCTAAAAAAAAAAAGTCAAAGACCTCAAAAAAAAAATAAATAAATAAATCAAAATCCTAAATCTGCTCCTCACACATTACAGGGTCTGCCTAGTGCAATGTTCCACTGTGCCTGCCTCTGTAGCACTTGTGCATCTGGCCTGGCCAGTGCTGCAGCAGCTCTGTCCTTTGTCCAGCACCCATTGCACTTAGTCATGGCAGGCCTTGGTCTCACAAGTCCCCATTGACAGGCATGCAAGCCTTTTTCTTCTCTTTGTGTTTTGTTTTGTTTTGTTTTTTTGAGACAGAGTCTCATTATGTTGCCCTCAGTAGAGTGCTCTGACGTCATAGCTGACAGCAACCTCAAACTTTTGGGCTTAAGTGATTCTCTTGCTTCAGCCTCCCAAGTTGCTCGGACTACCAGCACCTGCCACAACGTCTGGCTAAATTTTGGTTTAGTTGTTATTGTTGGTTCGAACCCGCCAGCTCCGGCATATGTGGCTGGTGCCCTAGCTGCTGAGCTACAGACACCAAGCCTGTTTTTATTTCTCATAATCAAGGCCACGGTGGAAAGAATGTACGAACGGGTGGGAGAACAGGAATGCCTGATAGGGCCCTTAGCTGCCAAGACAGACATGCCTGCTGCAGTATTGTGAGAGAGGAAACCTGGGGCTGGTTAGGGCCCATCCATCTTCAGGTTCTGATCAGGTGGACCTGGCCATCCTTCCCTGTTCTATATAACCTGGGCCCCATCACCTGGATCTTCACGTCTGCTGGGACAACAGGGGCCATTTCCAAGGCTCAGAATCAGGTGTAGAGTGGGGACAGTGGGAGAAATGGCGGGGTGCAGCTTCCTAGAGACACTGTGTTTAGGCTGGTACCTGCAGTGTTGGTAGATAAACCCTGGGCAGTGTGGAGTGTAAACAGCTTCAGGAGCTAGCACAGGTGCCCACCAGCTGCTGCAGGCAGGCAGATCTGGAGCTGGTTAACTCATAGTCCCTGGATTTAGACCCATGTGGCTATAGGTAGCCATCAGCCATTAGGGGTAGCTGCATGCTAAGAATGTGGCTAGCACCGCATGTTGAAATGATATGGCCTTTAGGAAAACCCAGGTTGAATGACTATCTTATGAAGACTAGTTTTACTTCACTGTTTTTGTTTTATTTATTAATGTGGGTGGGAAGCATTCACTAAGAAGAGCTCCCCTTACATTTTTATGGGGTGTCTGGACAGCCAGCTTATCCTCACTCAGCTTTACCAGGAACATGAGCTGAATAGGCTATCCCTTCCCAGGGATGCAGGAGCTCTAGATGTCTCTATGTGAAGGTTCGTAGTCATCACATAGTGATGGCTGCTGCCTCTGACCCAAGCCCTGCTTCCTCCCCCAGAGTTCGCTGTGGCCCATGACCTTTGGCCTGGCCTGCTGTGCTGTGGAGATGATGCATATGGCCGCACCCCGCTATGACATGGACCGCTTTGGCGTGGTCTTCCGTGCCAGCCCTCGCCAGGCTGATGTGATGATCGTGGCTGGAACACTCACAAACAAGATGGCCCCAGCGCTCCGTAAGGTAAGCCTGAGACCTGCTGTCCAGCTCTCTTGGACTGAGCTACACACAGACTCCTTCATCTCCTCCCTGCTTTCCAGGTCTACGACCAGATGCCAGAGCCTCGCTATGTCGTGTCCATGGGGAGGTGAGTGCTGGCCCAGTTGCTCCCAGGTGTGACTTACAGCCAGTAGGGCAGTGAGCAGGGGCTTGAATGTACCTGCCCCCATAGCTGCCACTCCGCCTAGAATTTTCTTGTATCTACCCACAGCCCAGGCCACAGCCTCATTCCTACCTGGCTCTCACTTTGTGGACACATTAGTGATGCCATGTGCTAACTGTGGACAGTTTTATATTCTCTAATTTTTTTTTTTTTTT